TCTAGTCACCACCTTCAGAACCACCTCCGGGACCCACAAACACACCAGGGTTTTTTTCTACCTTAACTCCTTATTGCCGAACAGCCATGAGCTCCCAAATCGGTCAGAATTATTCGACCGAGGTGGAGGCTGTGGTCAACCACTTGGCCAACCTGCATCTGCAGGCCTCCCACACCCACCTCTCTCTGGGCTTCTGTTTCCCCTCGACAATGTGGTTCTGGAGGGCAGAGTCCACTTCTTCCAGGAGTTGGCACAGAAGAAGCGCGAGGGCGCTGAGCATCTCTTAAAGATGCAAAACCAGCGAGGTGGCCGCTTTCTCTCCAGGTCATGCTGAAGCCTCCCCACATTGAGTGGTTGAAACTCAGACCGCCATGGAAGCCGCCCTGGCCTTGGAGAGGAACCTGAGCCAGGCCCTCTTGGAGCTGCAGACCCTCAGCTGCGGGACTCCCGGGAGAACCACTTCCGGGATGAGCAGGTGAAACTCATCAAGAAGCTGGGCCACACCTGACTCACCTCCGCAGGCTGCCGGCCCCCAGGCTGGGCTGGGCGAGGATCTCTTCTTCCAAAGGCTCACCCAACAGCACGACTAGGAGCCTGTGGAGCCCAGAGGCCTCTGAGGGGATCCTCTGCATTCCCCTGGGGTCTAGCTTTTGCCTGAGCCTTTCCCCAAAACTACTAGCCATTCTTTTAACCACCCTGAAGCCCTCTCCCATGCATTGTACCAAATGGAAAAGTTTTTTCCAGCAAAAAAACAACATACATATACCTGCTTGTCTTTACTAAAAGAAACACCGGCAGGTGAAGCCAGAAGTTGGTCACCTACAAGGAATGGGAGGGAATGGCGTTGAATGGATATGGGAGGAAGGGAGTGACACTTGTCTAAGCATATCTTTCTGTATAGTTTTGATTTGTGGAAGTATGTGAATGTTCTACAAATTCAAAAATCAAATCAAGCCCTGGCTGGGTAGCTCAGTTGGTTAGAGCATCATCTCAATATGCCAAAGTTGCAGGTTTGATCTTCAGTCAGGACACATAGAAGAATCAACTGATGAATGAATAAATAGGTGGAACAACAAATCTCTCTCAGATCAATAATTTTTAAAAAATCAAATCAATAAGGATGGGAAAGAGAAACAAGCTAAAACTAAAAGCAAATTGAAAAAAATACTTCAAATGAACAACGGAAGCACATTATTGGGGGTTGGGAGTAGGGAGAATAATCCAAGTAGTGTATGAACACAGTACTTATCTATATACCTTCTGTCTTGGGAGGGAGTCAGAGAACTGCAAACAAGTCCTGAACTATCCTCCTATGTAATAAAAGGGTAATATGCAAATTGACCAGATGACCAGTCACTATGATGAGCAATGATCACCAGGGGGCAGACACTCAACGCAGAAGCTGCCCCCTCATGGTAGCTCAGCCAGAAACTGGGCTAATGGCTGGCGAGCACAGTGGCAGTGGCGGGAGCACTCTCCTGCCTCTGTGGCAGTCAGACATCCCCTGAGGGTTCCCAGACTGCAAGAGGACACAGGCTGGACTAAGCAGCGAGCCGAGTGGTAAGGAGCAGTGAGCAGGCGGGTGGTAAGGAGCAAGGGGTCCCAGACTGCGAGAGGGTGCAAGCTGGGCTGAGGGATGCCCCCCCCGGTACAGAATTTCATGCACTGGGCCTCTAGTTTTTAATAGGTTTGTTTACTGTAGTGGTATGAGGGAAGCAATTCTGAAACTATTTCACATGTGCTGTGGCATTGAGCAAATCTATATATATAAAAGGCTAAGATGCAAAGTGTCCCCTCGGAGTTCAATCACTCACTATGACGTGTGCTGACCACCAGGGGGTTGCGCAGAACATGGCGGGCAACCAGTGGCGGTG